GACTGTCCTTTCTGCATTATATAGCCTTGGCACCCTTGTTGAAGATCATTTGACCACATACCAGAGGGTCTATTTCTGGACTTTCTGTTCTGTTCCATGAGTCTATATGTCTGTCTTTATGCCAGTTCTACACTGTTTTAATTACTTGAGACTTATAACTTGTTTTGAGATCAGGAGTGTGAGGCCTCCAGCTTTTTCTTTCTCAAAATTGCTTTGGCTTTTCAGGGTATTTGTGATTCCATATGAATTTTAGAATATTTTTATTTCTTTGAAAAGTGTCATTGTGATTTTGATAGAGATTGCATTGAATCTGTAGAATACTTTGGATAGTATGGACATTTTTAACAATATTTGCTTGTACTCCATGAACACAGATGTCTTTACATTTGTTTCTTTTATTATTTCTTTCAGCAATGTTTTATAGTTTTTAGTGTAAAATATTTTACTTCCTTGGTTAAATTTATTCCTATGTGTTTTATTCTTTTAATGGTATTATAAGTGAGATTAGTTTCTTAATTTTTTTGCCTTATTCCATGTATAGAAATGCAATTGATTTTGTGTGTTGATTCTGTATCATGCAACTTTCTTGAATTCATTGACTAATTCTAACAGGTTTTTCTTGTGTGGAATCTTTAGTATTTTCTACATACAAAATTACACCATTTGTAAATAGAGATAATTTCACTTCTTCCTTTTCAACTCTGATACATTTTATTTATTTTTTTTGTTAACGTCTCTGGTTAAGACTTCCAGTACTATATTGAATAAAAGTGGTAAGAGTGAGCATCTTTGCCTTATTCCTGATTGTAGAGAAAAAGATCATTAGAGGAAAATTGTTAGTTTTTCAGCACTATTATGTTACCTATGAGAAGTTTACATATGGCATTTACTATGTTTACTTCTATTCCTAGTTTGTCCAGTATTTTTATCACAAAAGAGTGTTGAGTTTCCTCAAATGGTTTTTCTGCATCAATTGAAATGATCATATAAGTTTTGTCCTCCATTCTGTTAATGCAGTATATTGCATTGACTGACTTTCATTTGTTGAACCATACCTGCATGGCAGGACTAAATTCCACTTGGTTATAGTGTAGAATCCTTTTAAAGTATTTGATAGTATTTTGTTGAGGAAATTTGTTCCAATATTCCTCAAGGTTATTGATATGTAGTTTTCTTTTCTTGTAGCATCTATGTCTGATTTTGGTATCAGAGTAACCAAAAAATGAGTTTGGAAGCATTCCCTCCTCTTCAGTTTTTGAAAGAATTTCAGAAGGACTAGTGTTAATTTTTCTTTAAATGTTTTCTAGAATTCTCCAGTAAAGCCATTTTGTCCTGGGCTTTTCAGTGTTAGGAGATTTTGAATTACTGATTCAATCTCCCTACTAGTTATAGGTCTGTTCAGGATTTTTAGTTTTTTATAATTCTCTTTTTGTAGTTTGTATGGTTCCATAAATATATCCATTTCTTCTAGGTCATCCAACTTTTTGGTGTATAATTATTCACAGTATTATATCAGGATCTTTTTTTTTTCATTTCGGTGGCGTTAGTTGTGATATCTCATGTTTCATTTCTGATGTTTGTTATTTGATCTTTTGACTAGCTAAAGGTTTGTCAGTTTTGTTGCTCTTTTCAAAAAACAGCACTTAGTTTCATTGATTTTTACCTCTTGTTTTTATATTATCTATGTTATTTGTTTCTACTCTAATATTTATTAGTTCATTTCTTCTGCTAACTTTGGGTTTATTTTGTTCTTTTGCCATTTCTCTGAGGAATATAGTTAAGTTGTTGATTTAAGATCTTTCTCTTTTCTAACATAGGTTTTTATTACTATAGCCTTCCAAAGCTCTTAGTACTGCATTTGCTGCATCCTATAAATTTGGGTATGCTGTGTTTTACTTTTTATTTTTGTTAAGATACTTTCAAATTCCCTTGTTATGTCTTCTTTGACCCATTGGTTCTTCAACAGTGTTCTTAACTTTCCTGTACTTGTAAATTTCATGGCTTACTTCTGCTCTTAATTTTTAGTATTATTTCACTATAGTTGGAAAAGGTATTTGGCATTACTTCAATCTTCTTAAATTTGTTAGAACTGATTTTGTGATCTAACATGTAATCTATTTTGGAGAATGTTCTGTGTGTATTAGGGAAGAATGTACATTGTGTTCCTATTGGGTGTGGTGTTACGTATGTGTCTATTAGGTACCAATGGCCTATAATGTTGTTCAGATCTTCTGTCTCCTTATTAAGCATCTGTCTGGTTGTTCTATTCACTACTGAAAACAGAGCGTTCTAATATTAATGTGTTACCATTTATTTCTCCCTTCAATTCTGTTAATATTTGCTCATATGTTTGGGTGCTCCGATGTTAGATATGTATGTATTTATCATTGTTATATCTTCTTGGTGAATTGATTTTTATCATTATATAATGTTTTCTTTGTCTCATGCAACAATTTTAAACTTAAAGTCTATTTTTTTCAGATGTATGATCACCTTGTTCTCTTAATTACCATTGTCATGGAATATCATTTTATCCTTTTGCCAATGTTTATAATGAGCCTCTTTTGTACAGTTTCATAGTTGCCTTTTGTTTCTGTTTTTATCCATTCAGTCTGGGGTATTTAATTTATTTATATTTAAAGTAATTATTGACAGGGAAAGATTTAAAACTGCCATTTTAAACTGCTTTTTGTATAACTTGTTGTTTTGTCATTCTTTACCCTCTTACTGCCTTCCTTTGTTTTGCTGATTATTTGCAGTGACATGCTTGACTCCTTTGTCATTTTCTGTGTATATCTTCTATAGGTATTTACTTCGTGGAGACTATATATATATATATATTATTACCATGGAGATTATATAAAATATTGTATAGTTATAATAATCTATTTAAAACTGGTAACAAGTTCAATCAGATACAAAATTCTAGTCATTAATTTCTCCCATAATTTAAAAAAATATTTTGTATCCATTAACATAATTTTACAGTTATAGGTATTTGTTATGCTTTTATCCTTTAAATTCTATGCTGAAATCAAAAGTGATTTGTGAGACTTCTGGTTCCAAAAGGGCACCATAGAAGTACTGACCTTATTTCCTATCCCCTCACACACACAGTGAAAATGAAAAACAAAAATGTACTGTCAAGATTATCATCACCTAGAAAAAAATGAATATTATTAAAATGACCATACAGCCCAAAAATATATACAGATGCTATTTCTATCAAACTACCAATGACATCCTTTGCAGAATTAGAAATAACTATTTTAAAATTCACATAGAACTTCATATAGAATAAAAAGGTCCAAAGAGCCAAGACAATTCTAAACAAAAAGAACAAAGATGAAGGTACCATGTTACCCAATTTAAAACTATACTACAAGGTTACAGTAATGAAAACAGCATGGTAGTAGTACAAAAACAAACACATAGACTAATGGAACAAAATAAAGAGCTCAGAAATAAGGCTGCATACCTACAACCATTTAATCTTTGACAGAGCTGAAAAAAACAAGCAATGGATAAAAGACTCCTTAGTCACCAAATAATGCTAGGATAACTAGCTAGCCATATGCAGAAGGTTGACACTGGATCCCTTCTTACATCATATACAAAACCATCTCAAGATGCATTAAAAACTTAAATGTGAAACCCAAAAGAATACAACTCTGAAAGACAATCTAGGCATACCATAAAGGACATAAGAATGGGCAAATATTTCATGACAAAAATGTCAAAAGCAATTGCAACAAAAGCAAAAATTGATGAATTGGCTCTAATTAAACTAAAGAGCTTCTTCACAGCAAAAGAAACTATCAACAAATAGTTTGTTCTTCAAATAATATATAATACCTCTAAATTAACTTAACCAAAGAAGTGAAAGTTCTACACAAGGTTAATATAATGACTCATGAAAGAAATTGAGGAAGACACAATGAAATGGAAAATATTCCATGTTAATGAATTACAAAAATTAATACAGAATCAATGCAATATCCTTCAAAATATCAATGTCATTCACAGAAATAGAAGAAAACTTTCCTAAAAAGTTTATGGAACCACAAAAGAGCACATATAGCCAAAGCAATATACTGATCAAAAAATAACAAGGCTGGAGGCATCATGTTACTTGACTTCCAAATATGCTACAAAGCTATGGTAAACAAATAAGCATGGTAGTAGAATAAATACAGACACATAGACCAATGGAATGGAATAGGTAATCCAGATATAAATTTATGTATTTATGCAAACTTATTTTTCACAGGGCTGCTATAAAAAAGACAGGAAATAATGCTGATGAAGATGTGGAGAAAGGGGAACACTAGTACACCATTGGTGGATATGTAAATTAACACAGTCACTATGGAAAACTGAAGTTTTCTCAAAAAAAAAAACAAAAATAGAACTACAGCATGATACAGCAATTCTACTACTGTATATATATCTCAAAGAAAAGAAATCGATGTATCAAAGAGATATCTGTACTCCCACATTTATTGCAGCACTATTCATAATAGCCAAAATATAAAATCAAATTAAGTGTCCATCACTGGATTAATAAAGTAAACATGATATGTAGACATCATAGAATATTATTTAGCCATAAAAAGTGAAATCCTGTCATTTGCAGCAGCATGAATGGGACTGGAGGGAATTATGCTGGATAAAATAATCCAAGCAGAGAAAGACAAATATTGCATGTTCTCACTCATATGTGAGAGTTAAGTGGATCTCCTGAAAGCTTTAGTATTGATTGGTGGTTACCAAAGGCCAGGAAAGATAGGGGACATGGGGGAAATGAAGTGTGGTTGATTAATGGGTAGAAACGTACAGTTTGATAAACAAAACCTAGTGTTTGATAGATCAGTATGGTAACTACAGTTTACAATAACTTATTCTATATTTTAAAATAGCTAGAAGAAAATAATTCAGATGTTTCTAGCATAAAGACAAATATTTAAGGCAATGAATATCCCAATTTCACTGAATTCATCTTTATAAATTAGATGAATCTATTAAATTGTTAACATGTACCTCCAACATACATATACCTATTATGTATCAATAAGGAAATAAAATTTTCCAAAGTGATTTATGCACTACCATTATTGTATTTCAGGATTCTGTATTTGTTGATATATTTACCTTTTCCAGAGATTTTTGTTTTTCTCTTATACCTTGGTGTTGCTGTCTCATATCTTTCTTTTAACTTTAAGGACTCTAGCACTTCTTGCAAAACAGGTCTAGTTTTGATGAACTTCATCAGCTTTTGTTTATCTAGGAAGATAACAAAAGAAGAATTCTCCTTCATTTTTGAAGAATACTTTTGCCAGTTATAGTATTCTTGTTTGGCAGGCTGGTTTTATTCAGTGCCTTGATTATGTAACCGCATCCCCTAATGATTCGGCTGAGAAATCTACTAATAATTTATGGAGTTTCCTTGTATCTGACAAGTCAATTTTCTCTTTTTGTTTTCAAAATTCTCATTGTCTTTGCCTTTGGACAGTGTGATTATAATGGATCTTGTTGTGGACCTCTTTAGATTGCATATTTGGGAAGCTTACAACCATTATTCCCTCATATAAGCTCACTATTCTCTCTCTTTTCTCAATGTATAAGTTTTATAATGCAATACTAGTCCACTTGATAGTGTCCCACAAGTCCGTTTGCTTTTTCTCCTTTCTGCTTTTTTATTTTTTGTGCTTTTGGTTAATAATTTCAAAGTACCTGTCTTTGAGTTTGCTGATTCTTTCTTCTACTTGATTAAGTTTTCTGTTGGACCTCATGAGTGAATTTTTAAATTCAGTTATTGTATCCTTTAGCTTCAGAATTTCTGTTTGCTTCTACAGTTTTTATCTCTTGATTAATATTCTCATTTTGTTAATGCATCACTATCATGACTTTGTTTAGCTGCTTATATGCATTCTTGTATAGCTCAGAGAGGTTCCTTAAGATATTATTTTACATTGCTTTTAAAGAATTCATATACCTTTGTTTCTTTTTGAGCAGTTTCTAGAGATTCATTTTGTTCCTTTGAGCCATGTTTTCCTGTTTCTTCATATGCTTTGTTGTTGTTGTTGTTGCTGCTGCTGCTGGGATCTGGGCATTCGAAAAACAGCCACCTCTCTCATTCTTTATAGACTGTTTTTGTACAGAGGAAGATACCAATCAGCCTGGCTAGAGATGCTAGAGTCCTCTCAACCATTTCTCAGGAATGTGTTTTCTCTGAACTTGTGCATTTACTTTCCTAATTAGAGAGGTTTTCTGGTTTCTTTTTTAGAAGCCCATATCTTTTTTTCCCATGGTATCTGTCTGTGTACTGCAGGTTTGTGAAATGTAGCAACAAGCTGCCTAGCTCTCCTTTATTTTTTCCTCAGTGGCTCCCAGACATCTAAAGTATGCCAGTTCCCTGTCAACACTCTGAGTCAGAGGAGACAGATACCAGTCCCTCCGGCAGCCCCTGAAAAGCTGAAACATTGGACTACATTTCAGTCTTCTCTTTCCTGAGACAGAAGCCACAATTTGGACATTCTTTTTTTCCTGATTACACTAAGCACTTAGCTGTGCTGGCTTGGAAGGAAGGGTTATCATGGGTGAAATGCAATGGCTTTTATTATCCATTTAAATGCAGCTATTCTTGCCTTTATGCTTGCTTGGGGTACTGTGACTTCTTAACGGATTTCTGGAGTTCTCATAGAGAACTTTTTGGACTATATATTGTTGTCAGGGTCTCTGGGGAGAAATGAGCGCTAGGGCATTTTATTCTGCCATCTTGCTCTGACACAGAGCTTTTAGATAAACTCTATTTAAATATGGGTTGGCAGAGCACGCTGTGCCAATTTAGCCCTACCTTCATTCCTCTTCTTGTCTTATTTATATAGCCTCAAATGATACAGAATTTTCTTACAGGCTCTTACAGACATTTTATCACCATGTTTTTTAGTCTTTTAAAATGCAATATCAACTACTTGCAGGAAGCCCTACTAAGTGGGCTCCTCTCTTGTTATGGGTGAAGGGACTCACTGCTTCATGAATGAGCTAATTCTATTGATGGGAGTTATAGTCTTCAGAAAATGAATTTTTATTTTTTCTTCTTTATTGAGCTGTAGTCTGCTTTCTTTATAGTTTCTACTCATTGCTCCTAGTTCTATCCTTAGTAGAAATGAGAATCGAGCTTATTTGAGATTTCATTTTTATTTTTAATTACACAGGACAGTCTTTTATTTAAAGATGGATATAATGCCTCACCATACTCTGGTCTGCTTCTGTATTAATACCCATAAGCTCTTCTGCCATATGGATTCAAGGCCTTCTCTCCATTCTTTTGCCCTCCACTGAGTCAAATTTGCTCCTGTTCTTAAAAAAAATTTTTTTTACAAAGGGACCCCTGAACTAAACCCAAGATTCCAGATGATGTGTGACCAGTGCAAAGTGGAAAGGAAAAATTGCTGCCTGAAGTTAACTCATCAGACTCCTGATGATGGGATCTTTACTTTATATTTTATTATTTTTAAGCATTCTGTTCAAGTTAAACTTCTGCTTTTTAAAAAATCCTGAATATATTTTTTTCACACACAATTATGCCAGTTCAAGACGTCCTCATCCTATACTTATGAAGGAAGTACCACAATTTTCAGGCCCAGAGTCCTAAATGAGGAATGTAATTAACATAGAAAGCAGGAGGTTTAAAGAAAAAAAGAGAAGATTCAAAAAAGTGTAATTGGGTATGACAAAGATGACATTTCAGCCAGTCCCATGGAAATACAAAGGATCTTCATAGACTATTATAAATACCTCTAGGCACACAAATTAGAAAACCTTGAGGAAATGGATACGTTCCTAGAAAGACAACCTCCTAAGATTGAATCAGGAGGAAACTGAAAACCTGAACAGGCCAATAGGAAGTTTGGAAATTGAGTCAGTAATTTAAAAACCCACCAATCAGAAAGAACCCTGAACCAGATGGATTTGCAGCTGAATTCTACCAGATGTACAAAGAACTGATACTAATCCTATTGATACTATTCCAAAAAATCAAGGAAGATGGGTTCCTCTCTAACTCATTCTATGAAATCAGCATCATCCTGATACCACCAGTTGGCAGAGACACAATGAAAAAAGAAAATTTAAGGCCAATGTCCCTGATGAAAATAGATGTAAAAATCCTCAACAAAATACTAGCAAGCTAAATCCAGCAGCACATCATAAAGCTACTTCACCATGATCAAATAGGCTTTATTTCTGAGACACAAACTTGGTTCAATATACACAAATCAATAAACGTGATTCACCACAAAAAGCTCATCAAAAACAAAAACCATAAGATCATCTCAATAGATACAAGAAAAATCTTTTTAAAAATCTAACTTTCCTTCATGATCAAAACCCTCAACAGATTAGGCACTGAAGGAACATACTTCAAAATAATAAGAGCCATCTATGACAAAGTCCAGCATCACACTGACTGTGCAAAATCTGGAACCATTCTCCTTGAGAACTAGAACAAGACAAAGTACTGGAACAAGACAAAGTACTATTCAGCATAGTACTGGAAGTCCTAGCCAGGGGAATCAGGCAAAAGAAAAAAATAAAAGGCATCTAAGGAGGAATAGATGAAGCCAAAATATCCCTCTTTGCTGATGATATGATTCTATACCTAGAAAACCCCAAAGACTCTGCTAAAAGCCTCCTGGACATAATAAATAAATTGAGTAAACTTTCAGGATACAAAATCAATGTACCAAAATCAGTAGCATTTTAATACACCAATAGTGTTCTAGCTGAGACCCAAATCAAGAAAACAATCCCCTTTACAATAGCTAAGAGGAAAATGAAATATCTAGGAATCCATCTAATGAAGAAAGTAAAAGACCTCTACAAGGAGAACTGTAAAACACTTCTGAAAGAAAGAAGAAGTGACAGATATAAACAGAAAAGTGTTTCATGCTCATGGATTGGAAGAATCAATACAATTAAAATGGCCACACTATCTAAAGCAATTTACAGATTCAGCACTGTTTCTATCAAAATACCAATGTCATTTTTCACAGAATTAGAAAAATTGACTGTAAGTTTATTTATAACCAAAATAGATCTCAAATAGCCAAAACAATTGTAAGCAAAAAGAACAAAGCTGGAGACACCACATTGTCTGACTGCAAGCTATATTAGAAGCCTACAATAATAAAAACAGCATGGTACAAACACAAAACAGGCACACAGACCAGTGGAAGAGAATAGAGAACCCAGAAGTAATGTCACATACCTACAACCATCTGATCTTTGACAAAATTGACAAAAATAAGCAATGGGGAAAGGACTTACTATTCAATAAATGGTACTGGGATAACTGGCTAGACATATGCAGAAGAAGAAAACTGGACTCCTACCTCTCACTATATGAAAATTAATTCAAAATGGATTAAAGCATTAAATCTAAACCCTCACACTATGAGAGTCATAGAGGAAAACCTAGGAAATATATTTTTTGATATTGGCTTTGGCAAAGAATTTATGTCTAAGTTTCCAAAAGCAATTGCAACAAAAACAAAAGTTGACAAATGGAACCCAATTAAACTAAAGAGCTTCTGTACAGCAATAGAAATTACCAACAGAGTAAACAGACAACCTAGAGAATGGGAGAGAATATTTGCAAACTATGAATCTGGCAAAGATCTAATAATATCCACAAGCTACAAAAAACTTAAAACAACAAGGTAAAAATAAACAATCAAATTACAAACTGGGCAAAGAACATGAACAGACACTTCTCAAAAAAAGACATACAAGTAAAGGCCAGGCATGGTGACTCACACCTGCAATCCCAGAACTTTGAGAGGCTGAGGCAGGCAGATCATGAGGTGAGGAGTTTGAGACCAACCTGGCCAACATGGTGAAGTCCCGTCTCTACTAAAGATACAAAAAATTAGCCAGCATGGTGGCACACACCTGAAGTCCCAGCTATTCAGGAAGCTGAGGCAGGAGAATCACTTGAACCCAAAAGGTGGAGGTTGCAGTGAGCCAAGATCACACCATTGCACCACAGCCTGGGCAACAGGGTGAGACTCCATCTCAAAAAAAAAAAAAGACATACAAGTGGCCAACAAAGATATGAATAAATGCTTAATGTCACTAGTCATCAGAGAGACGCAAATAAGATCACAATTAGATACTATCTCACATTGGTTAGAATGGCAATTATTAAAAAGTCAAAAATAGATGTTGGTGAGGCTGCAAAGAAAAGGGAAAGTTTATACTCCATTGGTGAGAATGCAAACTAGTTCAGCCACTGTGGAAAGCAGTTTGAAAATCTCTCAAAAAGAACTTAAAAATAGAACCTTTGTTCATTTGTGGGTATATATATCCAAAGGAACATAATTTATTCTATCATAAAGACACATGCACCCCTATGTTCATTGCAGCACTATTCACAATAGCAAGGACATGGAATCAACCTAAGTACCCATCCATCAACAGTGGATTGGATAAAGAAAATGTGGTACATATATATCATGAAATACAATGCAGCCATAAAAAAGAACAAAATCATGCCCCTTGTACAATATAGATAAAGCTGGAGACCGTTATAAAATATGCATAAAGCTGGAGACCATTATTTTAAGTGATGTAATACAAAAATGGAAAGCCAAATACCATAATTTTTCACTTATAAGTGGGAGTAAACATTGAATACACATGATCATAAATATTGGAACAATAGACACTGGGGTCCACTAGGCAGGGGAGAAAGGGAGTGGGGCATGAGCTGAAGAACCACCTGTTGGGCACTGGGTGCTTATGGCCTGGTGATGGGATGATTAGGACTCAAAGCCTCAGTGTCACACAATTTACCCATGTAACAAATCTCCATGTGTACCCTTTAATCTATAGTAAAAGTTGACATTTTAAAGAAGAAAGTAGGTTTTAATGTTTCAATGATACCAAATGTACTATGGTATGTAATCTTCCTGATATACCTTTCCTTCTACTTTTTCCTTGTGTTTTTCTTAACATCACAATCAGGACTGTTAGTTTAATTGCTATTGTGTAATTATTTGTCTAATGCTATTTCTACTTGGCTGTAACTTTCAGAAGGAAAGAAATTACATTTTGTTTCCTGATAAAATTGGTGTTTAGGATAATTCCTTACCATTTACTGATGGCAAATATGTATTTAGTAAATAAATGATAACGCTCCCTCCGTTTTTCTTTGAAGGCCATCCAAGTTGTCTGGGTCTTCTAGGAAGCTGACACTGAGATGGAGTTATGAGAATAAGTAGTTTACTGGGGGGAAATGCCTGTAAAACATAAGAAACATAAGAAAGAAGCAGAATTGCACAGGGAGAGCCTCTGATAGTAAGGCCAGTCTTACAAAGCCTTGTCTCACCCAGTGAGGAGCTCTAGAGGGAAGACTACTCATTAGAGGAGTCCTGTGTTCAGAGGGAATGTCTAGGTTCCAGAACCCCAAATTCTTGGAAGCCATGAATGTGGTTTAATAGTCTTTACTGATACAAAATAATTATTAAATAAATAGCAGTTTGTTAGGACTTTTATACCCCTCCCCCCACCCAGAAAGGAATTATGTGATTACAGGGAGAAATTTCAGGGAGTATATTTATTAGAACTCCTCATTTAGAGGTAACAGAAACCAAATATAGCTGGAGTAAGAATAAAAGGCAGAAGGAGATATTTTCTAAGGATAAAGAGATGCTTTACATGTCCTGAAAGAAACATGAAGTCAAGCTTCCTAGATTCTACAGATCCTCTGGAACCCAGAATGAATGGACCATTGGAAATGAGCTAGGAATGAATGTTATAGTGCCTGTACTCCTGGAGATTATTTTATTTTTTATTTTTTTATATACTTTAAGTTCTGGGGCACATGTGCAGATCCTACAGGATTGTTACATAGGTATACACATGCCATGGTGGTTTGCTGCCTCCACCCCCCCCCATCATCTACATTAGATATTTCTCCTAATGTTATCCCTCCCCAATCTCCCTACTCCCAAGAGCTTCTGCACAGCAAAAGAAACAATCACTAGAGTGAACTGGCAACCAACAGAATGGGAAAAATTTTGCAAGTTACCCATCTGACAAAGGGCTAATATCCAGAATCTACAAAGAACTAAAACAAATTTACAAGAAAAAAACCAGCCCATCAAAAAATGGGTGAAGGATATGAACAGGGACTCTTCAAATAAGACATTTATGTGACCAACAAACATATGAAAAAATGCTCATCATCACTGGTCATTAGAGAAATCTAATTCAAAACCATGATGAGCTACCATCTCATCCCAGTTAGAATGGCAATCACTAAAACATCTGGAGACAACAGATGCTGGAGAGAATGTGGAGAAATAGGAATACTTTTACACTGTTGGTGAGAGTGTAAATTAGTTCAACCATTGTGGAAGACAGTATGGCCATTCCTCAAGGATCTAGAAATTGAAATTCCATTTGACCCAGCAATCCCATTACTGGATATATACCCAAAGGATTATAATTCATTCTGCTATAAAGACACATGCACATGTATCTTCATTGCGGCACTGTTTACGATAGTGAAGACTTGGAACCAACCCAAATGCCCATCAAGGATAGACTGGATAAAAAAAATGTGGCACATATACACCATGGAATACTATACAGCCACAAAAAAGGATGAGTTCATGTCCTTTGCAGGGACATGGATGAAGCTGGAAACCATCATTCTCAGCAAACTAACACAAGAGCAGAAAACCAAACACCGCATGTTCTCACTCATAAGTGGGTGTTGAACAATGAAAACACATGGAAAGAGGGAGGAGAACATCACACACTAGGATCTGTCAGGGGTGGGTGGCTAGGGGAGGGATAGCAGGGGGTGAGGAGATTGGGGAGGGATAACATTAGGAGAAATACCTAATGTAGGTAACAGGGTGCAGCAAACCACCATGGCCTATGTATACCTATGTAACAGTCCTGGAGATTTTAAAGAAGCCTAATCATGTGGTTTAGTTACTCCCTTAAAGGCAAAACATTCTCTTAAGGCCCCTTCCAGCTCAAAACCGTACCAGTCAGAATGGCTATCACTAAAAAGTCAAAAAATAACAGATGTTGGCAAGGCTGCAGAGAAAAGGGAACAATTATATACTGTTGGTGAGAATTTAAATAAGTTCAGTCACTGTGAAAAGCAGTTTGTAGATTTCTTAAAAAATTAAAATTATAATGCTATTCAACTTAGCAATCCCATTACTAGGTATATACCCAAAAGAAAATAAATCATTCTACCAAAAAATATACATGCACTCATATGTTCGTTGCAGTACTCTTTAGACATGGCATCAACCTTGGTGCCAATCAGTGGTATATTGGATAAAGAAAATATGCTACATACACACCATGAAGTACTATGTAGCCATAAAAAAAATGACATTTTGTCATTTGCAGCAACATGGGTATGGCTGGAGACCATTATCCCAAGCTAATTAATGTAGAAACAGAGAACCAAATACCACATGATCTCACTTATAATTGAGAGGTAAACATTGGGTACACCTGGACAGAAAGATGGGAACAAAGACACTGGGAATTACTAGAGTAGGGAGAGGGTGAAGAGGGCAAGGGCTGAAAAACTACCTATTGGGTACTGTGCTCACTACTTGGGTGACAGCATCATTCATAACCCAAACCTCAGCATCCTGCAATATACCTGTCACAAACTTACACATGTACCCTCTGAATCTAAAATAAAAGTTGAAAAAAAAACAATAAAAAATTTTTATGCATGTAAATTTAAAACTAAAATTCACTCTGTGACCCTAACAAATACTTTACTTTTGGGGGTCTCGGTTTCTATAGTTTATTTATTCTTTCACATATGCATTCATTGTTTCATTTAAAAAAACATATCTTGAATGTCTTTACTGTGTGAGATTCCATGCTAGGTTTTGGAGGGACAAAAGTAAATCACACAGTCTCCTCCCTTAAGACATTCATACATTGTGAAGATGATCACATAAAGAATTACAAGAGACTGAAAAGTACTACAATGAAACTATATAATGGTAGTGAGGGAGTTCAGAGGAGATGGTAGCAAAGAGCAACGGGAAGGTTTCAAAATCCTAACCTCTGGGATTCTGTGTAGAAGTGTTCTACTGTCTACCTCAGATCCAAAGTAGTATATTCATCAGGGGACACTTCTTCTCTGAAGTGTTTAATTTTTCATGTTATATTTTCTGCTTCAGGGAAAGTTACAAACGTGGTGTATTTGGTTTTCCATTGATTCAATAACAAATTTCTAAACACTTAATGGCTTAAAAACCACACCCTTTATTCCTTGGCAGTTTCAGTAGGTCTGCACAGAAGTCCAGCACAGCATGGCTGGATTCTCTACTTAGGGTACCAGAGGAGCAAAATCAAGGTGTCAGCCAGGGCTGTGGTTCTCAGCCTCTCCAGGGCCAGAATTCTCTTTGAGGCTCATTGGTTGTTGACAGAATTTAGTTCCTGTGATTGTAGAATTGAGGTCTCTATGTCTGTGAAACATGGTCTCCCTCATCTTCAAGTTAAGAACACTTTTTAGCTTCTCATATTTTTAATATCACAGATTTCCTGCTCTGCTTTAAAAGAATCATTCAATCTCTCTATCTTAATGTCCACTAATTAGTAACCTTATTTAAACCTGCAAAGTCTCTTTTCCCACATAATGTTAACATTTGCATGAGTGTAACATGAGATAGAGAAAAGGTCATGGAGCCCAAATTCTGCTTATAACACTTGACATACTAACATTGTTCTTCTCTTTTTGCTCTTTCATTTTTGAATCACCACAAAAAATGATCAAGGTCTTGGAGAGAGGAGATACTAGCCCCAAGGCAATGCCTAAAGAAATGGAGATTTCTCTGCATTAGATAAGAAAATCAAAGCCATTTACTCCCAATTTATAGTTTGCTTTTATTAAGGTCTCCCTCCATGCATTTGGGTAGTCAGTTGAAGGTGTAAGTTGGGGACTGAGATGGTTCAGATTTATTGAGCACTTACCATGAGTCAGGCACCTCAAATCATGTGATTCTTAGAATATGCTTATAAAGTAGTATTATCACTGTGGGTATTTGACCATTAAAACAATGAAGATACAAAGAGTTTAAATGGCTTGTTCAATATTGTAAGCTAGGACAGAAAACTTTGGGATATAAACTGAAGTCTACTTGGCTTGAGAACCAAAGTTTCTGACCACTACCCAGTGCTGTCTCCTGGTAATCAGAAAGGAAAATTTTTTTATGTGAAAACTAGGAGGAAAAGAAAGAAGAAGAAAGGGAGAGGAGAAGGAAATATTTATGTGTCAAACATATTCACAAGTACTATCTCATTGGATCTTCAGAAATATTCCACTTGGTAATATCTTCTCCATTTATTGAGGAGAAAACTGATACTCAGTAAGGTTAAGTGATTTAGCCAAGATCTTGGAATTTGTAAGTGGTAAAGCCAAAGAACTGTATGCAAACCCAAAGTCTACTGTCCTTCCAGTCTACTCTACCAGCCTTACAAGTGACACACTTCTTCCAAAGTAAAAAGCAAATGTTCTGCCTACCAAGAGCAGGAAATAAAATGCAAAGAAGCATTCTGTGTATACTGAGCCAGGATGTTAACAGCAACTGTGAGGTTCTGGATATGCCTATGGAGTCAGGCACAAGGGTGCAGCTAAATGTGCCCAGTCTCCTCAAGAAATGAGTCCTGAGGCCAGCACACCTGGGCCTGTGTCAGCTAGGGCCATGCCAGGTAATGCCTCTTCTTCCCAGGAGCACATCCTGGTTCAGCCAGGATGCCATATGGGTCTCCGATTAATTTGAAGATGAAAAATTATGGCTTGAAGATGTTTTAGCTCCAAATACCAAGAAATGATGGTATTAACCTGTGAAATAATTCCAGCATCTCCTATGAAACAACGTAACTCAAATGGTGTTTTTGGTTCCAGGCCTCTGGTTTGGCATGGTTCATCTGGTCTGAAAGTGTTCTGCCAAATGAGAATTAATGCACTGCCTTGACAGGAGTCACCTTTGGGGTCAGAAAATGGCAGGCTATTGTCTTCCCCAGTTAGAGATCCTGGCTTGTCTTTCTTTCTAAACAAACCCTGGCCTTTGGAACCTTTCCTGCAGAGTTTTCTTTTGCCTCCACTTTGTGCCTCGATATGAATATGCTTGAACAACTTTTTCTCCCATATCTCTTAAACTTGTTCATTATTTTGAAGTGTTCACTCTAACCTTCCCATAGACTTGTATACAAAGAAGGCTCATGTCATTCATTTGACAAATAT